GCTGACAATTCGACAGCACGTAGTCTCGCAGCAATTAGTCTATTTAGTGGCAATCCGTGCATTATTAGCACTCAGATAATGACGGATAAAGTCACTTTCAATGTTGGATGGTAACCCAGAGCAAAGATCGTGGTTTAGCGTCAAGTCACCATTTGGAACTAGAATGTGCCACCATCCAACTGTTCTAAGTGCAGGAACACGATACAGAAAAGCGTCTTGAATACTTTTTGTCGTAGTTCCGGCTCGCACACCTTTTTAAAACTCCTATAAAATGCCACGACTAAAACGTACTCCTCATTTTCCATGTCGAATATTAATCCTGAACGCAAATTAACGTAAATAAACTTTATTGAGGCTATGTTGATTTATGGCGCATTTTAATAAGGTGAGTATGAAAGAAACATCAGCACAGTCAAAGGTGCATACCTCTATCAACTATGAATATCGGACACGAACTTTTGCAAATATCCTAAATTTACCTAAATTGAACCACCTTCGTTAGGAAATTATATGACAGGTAACTGAGGGAACTAGTAGCACAATGCATCAACAGTTGCCCTAATTAAGCATATTCCATGATTTCCTTCGCAATCATATTAACAATCTTTACTTTATTCCTACTTGGTTGGAATGAACTTTGTTTATCATAATTGGGTTGATAGACCAGGTCTCTGGATTGTCCCATCCTACTCAATTTGTGAACGCGTTTATTCCATGCGGAGCGCACCACGGCACAAGAAACCCCTGCTGACATGATTGGTTTTCAATGATGGCGTAGTAGTTCTAGGTGGCATGGCGTACCGTCAGCTTGTGGTGCTATATGATTAGCGAAGAATTCTAACAACTTGCAACAAAACTTAAATAGGTACTCCATGGCAGAGCATTTAGATATCTGACAAATCGCTGTTTTATTATACGAAAATTCTACACCATTACTTTTTGGGCAGTCATAGGGTATACAAATAGTGTGAAGAAACATTTTTAGAAGAAGAACTTATGACTCCTAAATTCTGCATCAATCATACCACAACCTGAGGTGCAACATCAAGTCAATCACTGGAAGCAGTGATTTAACAAGTTAACCGGTGGCAAAAGCAGGACTTACAAAGCTTTTGATCATGGCACGCCTGGTGTCATCATCAGCATCTTTGAAAATTTTCTGAAAAAGACTGTTCAAGGGGTCTCCTTCTTCTATCTCATCTGCTTCTTTTGCCACCGCATCCCAATCCTTGTATGATTTACCATGCTTTTTCGGCTCACCTTCAGCTTGATTTGACGGAGGTACACCTAAAAAAGAACAGGAGCACCACTAGTGTGCAAATTACATCAAATTTACATGGTTTTATAATCAATCTAACTTGTTTTCTACAATGGACGATCAAAATCTGGATCACTACATACTAAATTCAAGCTTAGCAACTAGCTACTGAAATAATAGTACCCTAAGTGCCGAGTAAATACGCCAAGATCCGACGTTAAATTACACCGAAATAATGTTTGAAAAGCCAGAAAGCTAACTCGAGGAGAAACAGAATAAGTTGCTATAGTACTTTGGTACGGTAATGAGAATCAGGTAAGTCGAAAAAACAATAACTGCCACTAGGTATTTATACATTAACACATCAAATGTCCATGTCCGAATTCCGAAAATTTACACCAACGGAATGTCCTGGGAATTTCGTGGCTTGAAACTCACGACAAGTGGTAAATTCTCACCAATTCGCATACGTAAGAGTAGAAAATGTACGCACTGCTGTGGTGTCTTCGACCAGCAAGCCTACAAACTGGCAATGAACGACCGGGTCGCAAGCGTAACATCGAATGGCATGGACCTCAATTTGGATTGATGCATACAAAATGAACCTCGAAAATAACAGCAGGATACTTGCTTAATTCGTTCGCGAAAGGCATTTTCCGATTTCCTCCTTGGATTAACATACTCGAGACTAATCTGTTCTCTGCTTGAAGTTTATAATACCCTTAAGAAAACCAATGCATTCTGCACTTGACTCTGACGTCAACTTCCATGATTTGGCGCCCCAGTGACTTGAGATTCACTTTAAACTGTCCCGCTCTTTAGAGATGCTTTCTAATTCGTTTTGTACATAGGAGTAAAATTTGGGCGGACATGATTATTTAGAATTGGTTGTGTGACCCTTTGTACCAGTTTTATATATAACTTTCGTAAAAGCTCCGCATTGTTCCGAATCGACAATGCGTAAACGCCATTTAAGAGACAACTTCTCAAGATACTTATCTTTCCTCCATATATGGCCCTTATTATGAGGCTCCCAACTCTAGTAACGGACAAGCGCACAACGTCCAACGTTTTTGAATGGTTGAAAAGCTTGCCTCGAGTCGCTTTTAACTCACATTTGAAGTAAATGTGTGACAACGGAATTTACCTATGAACTAGTCGTGGACGTCCTGCCCATCGAGCCAAGTGACGTAATTAGCCGACAAAGCGATTATCTAACCCACCAGCGCAACAGCAGTCGAGATTGACTAAAAGATTGCACATGTGTGATAGCTAACGCCCACGCACCTGCATGTGCTGACTCCTCAGTCTTCAGTAAACAGCAAAAATACACACGTTAAAACCACGACAACGAAAAGAACAAAATTGAGGCTATGATCTGCTTTTAAAGTGGACACCTTCAAATTGTGATTGGCAAAAAATCACTTAAGGTAGCAAAGGAAATCACAGTAGCGGCAATTCCGCTATAGTACTCCGGCAACGGTGGTCCTGTGTTCTTTCTGAAGCTCAAACTACAAGCGTACCAAAGAGATGGTTTCATTGACTGAACTCATTTACAGAATCTGTTTAGAAAGCACCACACTTCTATAACAGTACGGTGGAATACAATACCTGAATCGCTTGCAAGATTTTGCCTGACTTGGTGTTATACAATGTTTTATGTAGCAAATCAATCCACTTTCAATCAATGTCGATCTAAAAACTCATGTTGGACTATAGTAACATAAGCACATGAAAAAAAAGAAACCGGCAACACTTTAAACACGACTGAAACGGCAGTTATTAAACGCACACGCCCACGTCCTAAATTGCTATTTACAAAGAATTTCATCACTAAGCAGAGAATAACAACTCACCCTCTAAGCAACTCCAGGAAGAGCTCGTAAGCTTGGCCATTTTTAGTTCAATATTCATGGTTGTGGTTTTATAAAGTGATCTTTGGGGGTCAATTTTTTGAGCCAAATTAAGCTGCAAAGAAAGCTCATCATTGATAAAGATTTCGACCTAAGAAATCACAAAGCGTCATCTGTGAATTGGAATCGGAATTTACTATCTGTTCGGAGAAGGCGACTCGGAGGGCTGATGGGTCGGCGCCTTTACGCGGAATCAAAACACAAACAGTCGATTCTGTCTGATACCACTGGTATCTAAGATGTTAGAAGTAGCTATTTAACATACCCACTGTTGCTGCCTGCCATCACGCTCTAAAACCAAAAATTGAGTGTCACAAACGGACAGATCCTCTAAATTCCAACATGAAACAGACAAAGTCAAGAGACTATATACTATCACCGTCGATTGAGAGTGAAATTCAACCGGCATTGAACTTAACACCACGTTCGTTTGAATCCAACTTAATAACAGTCTTGACATTTACTAGCCTCGTATAACTTGAACAAAGCATTATTTTTGGCATTCAATGATACCTGCGTAGGAGCTCACATAGACCTTCCGGGTGACTGACTATAGTTTAAAGTACGACCGGTCAGGCTAGAGAACTTGTCAATTTGGAACTAACACAACCAGTTTAAAAGTTTCTAACAGGTTCGTGCATTTTGCAAAGGACGACTGAAGGAGACATCCGCTAACGAAAATCAGATTTGATCTTCTTAAGTATTGGCGGACAACGCGCAATTTGGGACAGGTTTTGTTGAGGCTCCGGAAACAACCCCAACCAGAAGGCCTTAAAGAGACTGACACAACTGATAAAACTAGTACCGTAAAAATGAGAAAATAGTGCCCGTAATAACAAAATCATGAATGGTGAATCCAGGGGCCTACTCCCCACGTTCAATGTCACTTTCGTTCAGACAACTTTGTTACGTGGCTTGGGCAACAAAACAATCAATGGTAAGGTAACGAGGTATTATAGTTTCAAAATTGGGAAATAAAGGAAATTCCGTCAGAAATACTATAAAGATCGATGCAGATATTCCCTAAGAGAACCCCACCACCAGCCCAAAGAAATTAGATTACAAATAATGAACAGAAACATGGAAAAATACTTTGGACCAGGTAACATTCGTGTTTCGTAAAAGCCCTCATTGAACGATTTTATATTACTATAAGCAAAATACATAATGCAAATAAAGGCCCCAAAAAAACAGTAAAAACCCATAACGGAGCGAGCGAATAGTCATGCCAAACCATAGAAAATGAAACGCACAATCCAAATTCGAGATCCTGCTATGGATTCGAGTAACTTGTTTTCTTGTTATTGACAAAATTCAGAGCAAATAAGACTATTTTAATTGTTATTCAGTCCACAATGCCAGAGGATAGCCCACTAGACAGATTGAATTACGGTATAGATAATGGTTCAATATCATACATGGGGCGAGAGCAAGGCAGACGATTTAAACAGACTAGTCATGGAAAAATATGTCATCAGGCAAGGGGTTATAAAAGTAAGACAATTAAGTGCATTACGTACACAGCACACCATTTTAAGGAACCCAAAAATACTATAAATCAGTACGAGATTCTATAATTCGCTCCTAAAGAACTGGTAGTAAGACCGTAAATTTGTATCGGCACTCGGAAACAATTTATTGGTGATGGATTTGAAACACAACAAAGGAAACTGTTCACACAACTTATGGAGAACAAGAACTCCCATATTAACCTAATACCCATTTTGACGCAGGTAAACAAAGAGAATAACACTGAATAAGGCCAATGAAAAAATTACCAGAAGACAATGCCATTTACCTCAATCAATGACTTGTAACGAAAATTATCCAAATGAAGGTGCAAAAAATTTAGCCAATAAATAAACAAAAGAACTGTCAAATGCATTGAATAAACTAAGTCCAAAGGATACAGTACTTGCAAACCCGTTCAAAACTGACGCACTACGTGCGCCATCTGTAACAGCAACATAATTGCAACCTCCGCTTAATAAGGTTAAAGTCAATGAGTTTAGACAAAATTCAAATTTGTATTAAATCTAGGAATAGCCACAATAACAAACAGACCAAGGCGGTGCCTGACTAATCCTGAACGGACACTTCGCGAAAGAAGGCTAATGAAAGAGGCAACAAGCCAGAGGGAACCAATCACTTTTCAGACACTTCTATTATAGGGCTAACAGAGTATCATCTCAAAAAACGTAATTTTACCGACTCTATAAAAAAAATAATCTTTGCAGCATACACAGCTTCACGAAGCACCGCAGTCTGTAACTATTACGAACAGGAAAAGGTACTTATAAGTGCACAATATCTCCATGACAAATTTAAAAGAAAATTAAGTGTTAAGAAGCATGTTATTTTACCTAACCTCAACCAATAAACACCTTCCAGCATCACAATCTCTCCAGTGAACATGACAAATTTACGTTATGTGGTGCTGCTAAACAAGATTTCCAACGCCTTGCTCGTTTAAAACATTGGCTTTGTAGTGGAATATAAAACGTGAAAC